ATATAAAACTGTGAAGCCTCCAACTTTCCACTGGTGGTTAGAGGGTGCCACTGATAGATATTTATTGTTCCTGTATTGTATCTACGTGACATCAATAGCCTAGTGGTTAAGCTACCGGACTCGTAATCGTAAGTTTGCAGGTTCAGGGGTTCGAGCCTCAGCTCGGTCCGACGTTGTGTCCTTGGGAAAGGCACTTTACACGAAATTCCCATTTGATTTGGTCTTTTCAGAGTTGGACGTTAAACTTGAAGGTCCCGCCTCTTAAATAACCTTATACAAACAGTGTTGATAGAGGCCATACCATTTCACCATTCTGTTGTATCTGTCTGTTCATTCTGCCCCTCCCCCCCCCCTTCCCCCAATCCCCACTAAATGACGTCATTGTGTCATTATGCAAACTGAGCCACTTCCAGGATACTTACTAAACTGATAGTTCCGAGAGGTTTTTAAAAATATCGTTTCACATTACTGCACATAAAAACTTTTTTTTCTCAGTGTACTTCTTTTGTGCAAGGGCATGCTTTCAGCTCACTCAGTTTGTGTCATGCTTGGGCTATTGTTGCTGATGAGCTTGGTTCGTATAGCCAATACAATGTAGTTGTTGAGTATGGGTTGTCAGGGGATTTCATGTCTTCCCACCCTCATAGCTCGCTGCCGTTGTTAGTGGATGGAGCATTTCTCTGCTCACAGTTTTAAAAGGGGATTTAAAGCTGCACTGTTTTCAGTTCTGTTTCTTTTGCTTGATTGGAGAGGGGTGTTGGTTGGGAGGTGAGGTTTGGGGGGGGGAGGCGGTTTCCTCTTGCACATCATTTCATTGTCTCTTAGATTACTGTCCTTCCTGGTTGAATCTGAGTGTTTTAACCACAGTTCTTCCCTTCTGACATCTGCGGTGTAGTGGACAAAGGGCTTTGCTGTCATACCCAGAAGATCTGAGTTAGATTCCTTTGTGGCAAGAATTTTTATCAAACATCTCGGACTTTCTGCTGGGATATTGTATCCCTCTTGGCCCTGGTTGGCTCCTTAATGATCTAGATTGTGTTGATGGGGGCGTAAAAACTACTGTGTTTTAAAATGTTTCAGTTATTACTTGGCCAGATCTTACTGCTATAACCACTGTGCGTCCCTGTCCAAATCTGACTGGTGTTGTGAAGAGTTACTGTAAACAAAGCCATAGCAACATTGCTGTATCTCTCTTGATCTGTTTTTCTTTGTTTTGTAGATGTGTATTTTTTTTTCTATGTATTGTTTTTGTTTTTTTTGTTGCTTGCCTTGCTGGGATTTTTTTTCTGGATAGTTGAAGACTGCCTCTGGTGATTTTTACTTCAATTTCTTTTCTTCTCTTGCTTTTGTCTGTCTATCTTGCTTTTTCCCCAGGCCCAGCCAGAATGGCTGTTGTTATGTCGGTGCAATTTTTTTTACTCAAAACCTGTTTAGGGTTTTGCTTCTACGAAGTGGTGGTGGTGGGGGGGGGGGGGGGTGCTCTTGTGTGGTTTGTTCCGTCTGTCGTATCATACATCTATCATCTGAATTTCTCCTCCTTCTTTTCTGTGTATGTTACTGTCTAATAAAACCTTTTATTTCCTGTACATATGTATGACCTAATTGTGTTGCAAATGCCATAAGACTCTTAGTGAAGCTAAACCACTATGTGTTGTAAAACTCTTTACTAAAACTAAAACAAAGCATCTATCATCTTTACCTTTTCTCTTTCTTTTCTCTGTGGGTTACTCTCTAGTAACACCTCTAATCTTCAGCACCCATATGACCTATTTGTGTTGCAAGTGCCATAAAACTCTGTGTGAAACTAAACACCCATCGTCCTTACCTCTCCTTCCTCTTTTTCTCTGTATGTTACTCTCTAGTGACACCTCTAATCCTGGGCACTCTTGTGAACTTTTTGTGTTGCAGGTGCCGTAATACTCTTACTGTGGGTGGTTGGCAGGTGCTCTGGTGTGGTTTGCTTCTTCTTTCCTATCAAAGGTCTATCGTCCTTAAATCCACTTCTTCTTTTTTATGTTTGTTACTCTCTTGTAACACCTCTAATCTTCTGGCGCTCATATGACCTTATGCAGTTGTGAGCGCCGTAGAACCTCTACGAAAACAAAAAACCTCTACTAGAACTAAACTAACATGTATCATCCTCAATCTTTCCTCCTCCTTTTCTCCGTAGGTTACTCTTTAGGAACACCTCTAATCCAGGGCACTCTTGTGACCTATTTGTATTGCAGGTGCCGTAAAATTCTTACTGAAACTAAAACTAAATGAATAATATTATCATGCGTACTTTTGTTGTGACTTCCTCAGAGCTACTTGATACTGGCCTACTACTTCCAGATGTCCACCTATGAGTTCGGCATCTCCTGGTCCATGCCACTGTGCGTGGTCACTCTGCGACTGACTGGGGTCGTCTTTGACTACTACGATGGCCAGAAGGTTTGTTGTTTATTCTGCTAAGTGTCAGGTTTACGAAGTGGGTGGTTGGCGGGTGCTCTGGTGTGGTTTGCTTCTTCTTTCCTATCAAACATCTATCGTCCTTATCTCCTCTTCTTTTTTTTAAAGTTTGTTACTCTCTTGTAACACCTCTAATCTCTTCTTGCGCTCATTTGACCTTATGCAGTTGCGAGCGCTTTAAAACCTCTACTAAAACTAAGTCAGGGTTATAAAGTACAGTGGACCTTGTCCAAGATAACTAACTATATTGTCCAGGAAGAAAATGATTACTTTTGGACAAGGTTGTTTTAATAGAGAGAAAAAAGTACAACAGGGAAGTGTGAAGTGGTCATTTGTACAGGAGATTGTCTTTGACGGGTGGTTGTTAAGAGCAGGATCAGCTGTTTAACTTTGTGTGTGTGCGTTTGTTATTTTGTAGTTATATGTGTTTATTATTCTGTTGCAGTATATTTTTGTTATTCTGGTGCTATATTGAGCTGAATTTTTTTGCTTTATGTGTGTTATTCTGTTGCTGTGTGCTTTATACATTCTCTGTCAGCTCTGGGTTTTGTTCAGCCATAAATATTTTTCTTGTTTGCAGAAAGAAATCCCGGCGGATGCGAAAGAGTCGGCTCTGGTGGAGAGGCCAGGCTATCTAGAGATGCTGGGTCACGTGTTTTTCTTTGGCGGGGTCATGGTGGGACCACAGGTCAGTGACATCGTCATGGGAGATCTGTAGAGGAAATATCGCAATGCTGCCTCGCCAACCTTCTTTGTGGGTGGCTGGCGGGGGCTCTGGTGCAGTTTGCTCCTTCTTTCCTATCAAACATCTTTCGTCCTGATCTCTCCTCCTTCTTTTTTATATTTGTTACTCTCTTGAAAAAACACCTCTAATCTTCAGCTCTTATATGACCTTATTGTGTTGGAAGAACCGTAAAACTCTTACTAAAACAAACAAACAAACTTCTTTTTTTTTCCTTTTCCTTTTTCATCCTCTGTTGTTGTAAAGCGTCGAGGGGAGCTGCAGTTTTCTATGGTAGGCCAGCTCTGCAGCAGCTTTCAGTTGGGATATTATCATTTATCTGGGTTTCCTTGACTCCCTCAATCCACTTTTTGCGGGGCCTTCCTCTTCTTTTATAGCCTGAGTGCTTGGTGTTTTCAGGCTTTCGAGGCTGGTTGGCTCGGTGACATTCGTAACAGGTGGCCAAACCATTATATTCTGTTTTTCTGTGAAATGCAGGCAGGACTCAGTGCCAATACTTGCTCTTACTTTTTCATTTCTCTGACTCTCTTGTCTTGTGATGTCAAGGGTTTTGTAGAGACATTTCATCTCGCATGCCTCGCCAACAATGTGAAGAATCCAATAATCATGAAATTTTAGATGTATTGATTCTTTTGTACCGGCATTTTCTGCTGGGTTAACCCGAACCTACACAATGGGCATGTGATGGGCCGCGATAGTGTTTTGTTTCTCTGTGTTGCGTGGCTAGGTTTAAGGTTTCCGTGTTATCATAATTTTTTAACCCTTTGAGCCCTGAACTGCTGAGGTTACCGTGGGCCCTTCTGCCAGAGTTCCTGAATGATTCACACGTTCATTCATAACATCTTCAGAATCTCATTCCATGTCTCACTCAGGGTACGCCTCGTCATTACCAGCGTATAATTGAGAAAGATCATCAAAATGATTAATTGATGTCCTGTGTAGTAAAAGCTGTTTTCTGTTCGCGTTTTGTCTCAGGCAGGCGGGTTTGGGTATAGGGTGTTGGTGGTTGGCGGGTGCTCTGGTGTGGTTTACTTCTTCTTTCCAATCAGACATCTATCTTCCTTATCTCCCCTCTTTCTTTTTTGTGTTTTTTACTCTCTTGTTACACCCCTAATCTTATGTGACCTTATTGTGTTTCAAGTGCCGTAAAACACTTACTAAAATTGGGTATAGGGTCTCACTCACCCGTGTACCGGTGGCTAGGCATACAGGCAGTTTTACGCACCACCGGTGGACCTGTGGCTAGAGCTCAAAGGGTTAATATCATTTGGTTTCCGAGCTTTTGTGTTCACCAAATTTAGAGACAGCTTTAGTAGTATTTTATATCAGATATCGATTCTAGCAATATTTATAATTTGTTGATCCATTGTGGAAGTCAAAAATTGAAGAACGATAATTGAAGGGTTACCCCCCTCCTCAGTCGAGCTGTTTTGTCATGGGATAAATTCATTTCATCAATGTTTGTTTGTTGTCAAATGATTTTTTTTAATACTGTTGTCTTCAAAAATATTATTGTTCCATATTAGATTATGCAAACTTTGTTGCGACATTCTGGGCAAGCTCTTAAATATTGTTTTGGGTTGGCTGCATAATGATGGGTGGTTGGAGGGTGCCACTGGTTGGTCCTACTTCTTTACTTTCCCTCTGTTGTTTCTGTCTGTGTGTCTTACTTTTTCCCAGCACTAAATGGCCATTATTGTTTTGATGTGCTTCTCTTTACTCAAACAAAACAAACTTTTCTTTTGTTTCCATCTGTCTGTGTGGGTGGTTGGCGGGTGCCATTTGTTGGTCGCACTTCTTTTCTTTCCCTCTGTTGTTTCACTCTGTCTGTGTGTCTGGCTCGATGGTGCCACTGGTAGTACTTATTTCTTTTCTTTCCCTCTATTGTTTCTGTCTTCTGTCTTTCTCACTTTTTTCAGCACTTAATGACCATTATGTGCATAGTCTGTGGGTGCTCTGGTGTTGTTTGCTCCTTCTTTCCTATCAAACATCTATCAACCTTATCTGTCGTCCTTTTTTTGTCTGTTTATTACTATCTTGTAACCCCTCTGATTTTTTGCCCTTATATGTGAAGCAGCACGGTGAAATCAGGCACATGTCAAAATAACGAAGTTGGAGAAACTAGTATTTTTCCGCCCCTTTGGAAATTTTTACAGAATCTTATATTTTGGCTAAACTCCTTCTATGTCCATATAAAAACCGATTTCCATGTAAATTTTATTGAAAAACATTGACTAAAGGCACAAAATATGTCATTTTTCAGTTTTCAAGGACTCTTTACCTATTCGGTTTACCAAATGTTGGCGGCCATTTTCTCACTAACTTCACCACTGAAACCAGGCTACCTCACCTTCAATGGCAAATATATTTAGTTCTATTCAAGATAATTGGATATTTATTTCATTGGAAGCAAGGCAAATGAATCGTTTTCAGATGATACCAATAACTCCATGTGCCCAAAAATTGAAGAGCGCCTGATTCCACCGCGTAGTGACACATAATATGACCTATTTCTGTTTCACGTGCGGTAAAACTTTTACTAAAACTAAACCAACCATTGTTTTGTCAATGTTCCTCTCTTTTCTCAAACAAAAAAAGAAAGTTTTGTACTGTTGTAAAGCGCATAGAGCATGCTGCAGAACGTGGATATGGGCTATATAAATGCAATCATTGTCATTATGATTATCTTTATTATTATCATTTTTATTATTATCATTATTGTTATCATTATCATTATTATTTTTTAAATTGCAGTAGTCTCCGCCTAAGATCCCGGTGCTCGGGAGCAAGGAAATGCGGGATCTTAGGCGAACCGGGATCTTAACCGACGAACCCAGGGAAGAATCTATGGTGACTCTTGCTAAGGCTCACAATTGATAAAATGGTCTCCCTCCACCGAGGCTCGCCCTCCACTCTAAAATGAACTGACGTGACCGCTGGGTGGGTTTATGACATATGGCGAGCAAAGAATGGTTAACCTTGAAGACTTATCACAGTGTATAGTGGGATGAGACGTGCCATTTTCACTTATTATCCTATCATGAGTCTCAAAATCTACGCTTATCCAGTTGCCCCTCCCCCTTACCTGTCGAAAATGTATAGCTTTCCATCTCTGACTGAGCACCCCCCCCGCCCCCCCAGTCTGTCTCGCAAATTCGGGAGTAGAGACAACTTCTGCAATGGTCAGGGAAGAGTTTACAGTTCAATGTGATCCCACCTGGAGCGAGCGTGTAGTCCCTACCCACCCAGCGAGTGATGTAAGTTTAGGGGGAGAGCTCAGGTGTGAGTGCGATGTTCGGGGAAAACAAACGTGTCGGTCAGTTCACACCCCGGTGTGATCCCGTCTGGAGCTAACATTGTATCGCTTCATCGAGTTTTACAACGGGTATGTGATCACATTCACGATAGTGGCTGATCTTCGACGCGACGGACAGTTTATTGATCTCAACTTTTCACTCTTGGTTGATCGGTTATCCCGCCCGGGTTTTTGTTCCGCAAATTAAGATCTGAAATACTGGATCTTAGCCGAATGTAGACCTTCAGAGTGAATCAGAGCGGGATCATAGGGGTGACTTTTGTATAGTAAAAATTCTGTTTTCTTAAAACAGCGGGATCGTAAGCGAACCGGGATCGTAAGCGGTGGGATCTTAGGCGGAGACTACTGTATTATTCTTATTATCATTATTTTTTTTAAAAAATATTATCATTATTATTATTATTATCGTTATCACCACTTCTGTAGAGGCACAAACTGTGAGAGTCATAATGAGCCTTATATTGTCCACAGTTCACCCTGAAACGTTACCTGAGCTTTGTCAATGGAGAATTTTCTGACAAGAGGACGGGAGGGCCACCCAACAGGTGTGTGTGTGTGTGCACGTGTATGTGTGTGTGTGTGTGTGTGCACGTGTATGTGTGTGTGTGTGCACGTGTATGTTATGTGTGTGTGTGTGTGTGTGTGTGTGCGCGCTTATATGTGTGTGTGATGTGACGTGACGTGATGTGATGCGCTGTGGTGTGTGTGTGTGTGTGATGTGAATTCAGCATCTTCAAAATGATATACATAGCAGCTGGGGAAAATGAAATAGGTACAAGAAATGGGTAAGTTGGCGATATTGCAATTCATTACTCCTCATCTATTCTCTCTCTCTTTCTTTGTGTGTCCTATAAAACTCTTATTAAAAGTAAAACTCTTTTTTAGTATGTTTTTTATTTCTTTTTTTTTTTAACATCTCTAATCTTCAGCACTTATATAACCTAATTATGTTGCACGTGACGTAAAACTCTCACCTAAACAATTTGTGTGGGTGGTTGGTGGGTGCTTTGGTGTGGTTTGCTCCTTCTTTCCTATCACACATCTATCGTCTTTATACCTCCTTCTTTTTTGTGTTTGTTACACTTTTAACACTTTTAATCTTTGGCACTTATATGACCTTATTGTGTTGCAAGTGCTGTAAAACTCTTACGAAAAAAACCCCAACAATTTGTTTATGTCTCCCACAGCGTGTCGGCTGGCCTGCAGAGACTGATCCTGGGAGTC